AAAGAAAAAGAAAGCAGGCTGAGCAAGCCACGGGGAGCAAGCCAGTAACCAGTACTCCTCCACTGCCTCTGCTTTAGGTCTCTAGGTTCCTGCCCTGACTTCCTTCAATGATAAGCTATGATGTGGAAGTATAAGCAAAATAAATCCTTTCTTCTCCAAGTTGCTTATGGCCATAGGGTTATGTTCAACAATAAAACCCCTAAGACCTGGGAGTGTAAGGTGAAATTAACCCTTTCCACCCGGGCAGTGGTGGCACATGCCTTTAATCCCAGCACATGGGAGTCAGAGGCAGGTGGATTTCTGTGAGTATGAGGCCAGCCTGGTCTACAGAGCAAGTTCCTGGACAGGCTTCAAAGCTACACAGAGAAGCCCTATGTCAAAAAACCAAATAATGATGATGATGATGATGATGTGGTCCAGAGGGGCCTGAGGGTATTGTCTCATGCTGGCTGCTGAACTCGGTAATGTGTACAAGTCAGCCAAGTGATGCTTGTTTTGAAGGCATGAGGGGGTCATGGAAGGCAACTGAGGTTTGGCACTGTGTAGCAGGGTCAGAATCCTAGAAGACAGCCCAGGAGAGGTTATTGGTGAAGGTGCAGCCCAGTTACAGTGGAAACCCCCGCATATTGAAGATACCCAGATCCCCACACCATGGGATGAGCACCAGGGACAGCAGTGGCTGTAGAGTGGAGCTGGCCTGAGTCTGAGACATGCTCTGTGTGCTACGGATCACAGAGGCAGAGAGGTGGAGCCCTCGAGTCCCAGAAGTCAGACACTGAGCTTTACACTTTGCTTTTGCTATGATTTGTGACTGTGCCTGCTTCTTCCCTGTGGGAGCAAAACAAAATTTGTTTTTTGATTCTTATGGGAGCCTCCAGTTATGAGACTTTGGGTATTTTAGAGAAACTATGAATATTTTAAAGAGACATTAGATTTATAAGTGATGGAAAGTTTTAAAGCCTGTAGAACTTTTAAAGTTATTTTTGGTTTATATGGTGTTATTAATACAAGATCTTGATCTTGGGGCTGAACAGAAAAGGAAAGGTTACAGTTGAATACTAATGTGTTTGTGTACCACGTTGACAAGGGTCAATCATCCTGGTTGGTTTTTTCCTCAGCTTGATACAAGTTAGTCATCTGAGAAGAGGAATCTTTTTTTTTGTCAAGCCAGGGTTTCTCTGTAGCTTTTGGAGCCTGTCCTGGAACTAGCTCTTGTAGACCAGGCTGGCCTCAAACTCACAGAGATCCACCTGCCTCTGCCTCCCGAGTGCTGGGATTAAAGGCGTGCACCACCACCGCCCGGCAGAAGAGGAATCTTGAGAAAATGCCTTCATAAAATTTTCCTGTAGGAGATTCCAGAGGGGTATTTTCTTGATCAATAGATGTTGGAGAGTCAGGCTCACTAGGTATGTGGGCTTTGGTTGTATATTTAGCAAACAACAAGCTAGCAAGAAGCAACCTTTTGTGGCTTCTGCATCAGTCCCTGCCGTGCCTGAGTTCCTGCCCCAACTTCCTTCAGTGAAAGAAATAGGGTAGTCAGATTATTCATTTTAAGGATGTGAAGACTTGCTCAGAGAGGTGATGTCCCCTGCCTGAGGTGTACAGCAGATATGTGACTACTTCTGACCAGTTACCTGGAAGTGTAAGATAAAATAGAACCCTTCCTCAAGTTGCTTTTGGTCGTAGTATTTATCATAACAACAAAGGTCTAAGACAGCTTGCCTGGTTTTCTGCCTTTCCCAAAGCTGCCATGGCCTTCCTGCCCTCTATACTACCAAGTCATTGACTGCTCTGAACTGCAGCTTCTTCATTCATAAAATGGGAGAATAACTACCTTTGGGGCTCATACGGATCAGAATCTCAACACGTCAACCTGGTTTGACCCTTGAAGCCCTTGGGATCTGCCCAGGTGGGCTTCTCATCATTCTCCCCAGGGAAGATTTCAGGAAAGACAGATAGTGTCTCTGCCCCAATATTAACCGGAAGGAGTCTTCTAGCTGGAAACTGCTGAGGAAGGAGAGAAGCCTAAGCTCCTAGGACCTTAGCTTCACAGCCTCTTAAATGAGACAATTCCACAGAAGAGCAATTCATACTTGACTGCCAGTCACGCCCCAAAGCCCATAACTGCCTATTACTCAAGACCTAGAATCTCACCTCACTACCTATACCCTGAAAAGAGCTGTGGGATCTGGGACTCTGGGTGTGCTTCTCTAGACACACTTCAGGCCCACTGAAGTGTGTGCCAGGCTCCCATCACCTCTTATACTTGGAAGGCTCTAGGATGTGCATGGTGGCAGGTGAATCTGTGACTCAGGACCTGATAACGTGGAGAACCCATAAAATCCATACTTGCCTACTATTAAGTCCCTGGCTCAAAGGTAAGGCCTTTCTCATCGAGACAAGGCACCAGGCCTGCTCATCAGCAGACAACCCACATGGGATGCTGTGTGTACACTGTCACTCTTTAGCATCCCTAAAGTGCCTTGCATTTCAGATCTGCACAAGTAACTGTGTGTGTGCCTAACCCAAGTTCAAGTCAGGATACTTTTATCCAGTTCAGTCTCATGAGCTGCTTAAACTGGTTTGTCTTCCAGGCCTGCAGGATCTGGCATATTCTGTGTCTGCTGACACCTCAACCTCTAACATCTGCTGACCTGAGCTTGCTATGTCCAGGCCTGTCTGGATTTGTGATCTTCTTGCTTTCACCTCACTGCTGTAGCTTCAGGGATGCTCCACACTCCAAGCTACAACTTTGCCGTTTGTGACAATTCAGCACGCTCCTTCTAGAAACCCAAGTCTCTCCTACACTGAAGCTTCAGATATTGGAATGAGTTCGTCTCTGACCCCAACGGCAAGTGTGATATACAGTTTTTAAACGACAAGAGGGCTACCTCCCTCCACTCACTCCTAGAGTCCTGATTCTCTTTGTGATGAGACCATGCCACCTGTGGTGGGTCACAAAACATGTGGCCTGCACTTCTCCCTTCTCTTGAAATTTCCTCCGGCAAAAACTTGTCCTGCAAGCTTGTGCTTAGCCAAATCACGGTGGCCACACAGTGAGGAAGTAAGGCAAGCCCCAGGCAAGCCTGTAGACATGTTCAGCCTGGCCTCACACTAACCTTATGTTCTGAGAGATCCTCAATCAGAACCGCAAATGACTTGCTCCCAATTCGCATCCTGAGGAAGCTGCAAGAGTGTTAGTTGTTATGTAGAAGATGGTGCAAACAAAATTCCTGCATGTCTTGCCACAAAGACCACAAAGTTTTCAACAGAAGTTACATCTGAAGTAACCACATGCTCAGTGAGCTCCAAACTGAGGTGACTTTACCTGACCAGCCAGAGCACTTGGCAGTATCACTGTCTGCACCAGGTTCTCAGTACCCTGGTCTTTGTCTCTGGCATGTCGCCATGTGATTACAAGCTGTCTCAGCAGATGGAAGTACTCCAGTTGACACGTTGGCACTTGGAGGCTGGCATGGGATACCTGTCTTTGTATCTTCTACATGCCGCACTAGGGAAGACCTCGGCAGACAGCAGGCTACATGTGTGTGTGCCCGGCTGCTTTCTTATCTACAGCTTCATCAGAGTACCCATGAGGCAGTTTTCAGGGTTGAGAAACGGGGTGCAAAGCAGATGACTGGCCCTGGGCTCCACGGGTGGGCAGTGAGAGGAAATTCTTAGGGACTAGGTTAAGACCTAATCTCTATCTGGGACTTGAGCTTTGCTGGATTAGGCTAGGCTGAGCTAGCATTGAGCACAGGGTTCCCATTCCGTGTCTCTTCAGCACTGCTATCACAAGAACATGCAATTGTGATCAGCTTTCTCTGCGGGTCCTAGAGATGGAACTCAGGCTCTCATGTTTCTGAAACAAGCATCTATCCCAAACTACTGTCTATCTAGAGCTGGGCACACCCTCCTTTCTGAATGTATGACCTCAGAGCCAGGAAGAGGTTAGACTCCATAGATGACTTAACTTCAGAAAACAAACTGAAACCGGGGTTATTCGAAGAGGAAAGAAGCTGTATGGTAGGTCCCCAGTAAACATGGCAGCCTGTCAAAGACTATACCCTTGGCTCATTACTCCCTGTCTTCTCTGGCAGTCCCTTCACTGAGGACACCTTAACTGTCCCCCCTCCAAGACTCAGTTGCTTCTTGTTCCCCACCACTACCCTCAACCTAACCTGGGTAATCTGCAAGCTGACCCTGTTTTCTCATCCCTGTGTCTCCATGGAAATGCAATGACCAGCAGAAGTGTTCAGCTGTTACCACTCAACAGTGGACCGTATAGCGGCTCAGTAGAGCCTTCCTGAAAGAGTCAGACTACTCCCTTGAAAAACCAGAGTAGGCAGAAAGAAGGGCTCAGCATTGGATAAAAGGTAATCAGAAAGACAAATAATAGCTGAGTAAAAGTGGCCCCTAAGGGGCAAAAATCAGGGCAGCCCTAACAGGTGGCAGGCAGCTGTCACTAGAAGGTGAGGCTCCTTCTCCTCCCTTAACCTGCATGAAGAAGAAACACACTTGGAGAAGCAACAGAGAACAGCCTCTGGCAGGCCCCTCCTAGGAACTGAAGGGGCCTGTCCCTCCCTGCAGGAGAATGGATTCTCGAGCAGGCCAATATGTCACTGTCCTCGTATCCCTCCGCACCGAGAAACTGTGAACGGAGCCGCAGGTCCAGGTGGTCGCCAACCAAACCATATGCTCGGCCATTGAGGGGCTCAAAGAAAGTTCCATCTGCATCCCGCGGCCCTCTCTAGGATCCAGTGTCCGACACCCAACTGTTTTGAGACAAACGCCCAAGCTGGGCCAGTCTCAACCCCGGTGACACCCCTGCCTCCCCGGAACACAACCACCACGGCACAAACACCAGGTTGGCCCCGGAGGAGGAACAATGGGCCTTCCCGAGCCAGGTCCTCACGGGTTCTTTCAGAACCCAGGAAGGAAACCTGCGGTTTGCCAAGTTCCTGCCTGACACCGGAAAAGCAACGCACGCTGGGAAGTGGGCGGCTCCTGTGATCAGTATAGTACGCTGGGATCGCGCTGCATTCTGGGGTAGGTAGCTGGCAAAGCTTCCTGAACCAAAGCGTCTTTTCAGTTTCCTGTGGTCTCCTAGACCTCGAGTTCAAGCGACTGCAGCTGCGCCGTCCCGAGAATAAAACATAAAGCTCTATCAGGGTAGCACCGCCGCGAAAGAAGCAGAAAGACAGAGTTAACGCGAGAGCAGACCCTGCGAGTCCCGCCCCCCTGGACTTGGAGCTGAGGCGCAGCGCGCGTGCGCGATTCGGCAGCTGTGTCACATGACCCAAGCAGGGCGCCTGGTTGGCTGCAGTTGGGTTACCTAGACAACGGAGCCTGCGGCGCCGGGCGGGTCAGCACCAGTGGGTCTCGCGGGCTAAGCTGACCAGGTTTGCAGCGACGGTCACGCACACGCTCCCGGGCGACGACCGAGTCCACAGGCAGCAGATGGGAGCCCAGGGCGCCGAAGATGCGGGCGGTCCGGGCCGAGACGCCGGCGCGGGAGCTCTTCCGGGACGCCGCATTCCCCGCCTCGGACTCCTCGCTCTTTTTCAACTTGTCCACGCCTCTGGCCCAGTTTCGGGAGGACATCACTTGGAGACGGCCCCAGGTGCATCCGGTTCTCTCGCCTGGGCGGGTGTTGCATATAAGTTACCCGCAGAGGTGGGGCTCTGGGGTTAGCAGGACCCGCCGCTGCCTGCTCTGATAGTTCCTCAAGCCGACTCAGAAGGATGTGCTAGCTGACCCTGAGGGTTGAGATGAGGCAGCTCCAATTCAGGAGGTTGGAAGCAGTCTGATGGTTTGTCGTTCAGATTTTGTTTTGGAGTATTTGTACTAAAATATAGTACAACCCAAAGTCAGGTAATAAGGGAGTTGTTATAATATGAATATTAGAAGCAGTAATTCCAGATCCCACCACCTACATGGTATAATTCAGCATACTTTTTAACAAATCCTTCTTCCTTTTTTAAATGTGCATTGGTGTTTTGCCTGTATTCATGTCTGTGTGAGGGTGTTGGACCTGGAACTGCAGTTACAGACATGCGGATTCTGGACATTGAACCCAGGTCCTCTGGGAAGAGCAACCAGTGCTCTTAACCGCTGAGCCACCTCTCCAGCCCCGACAGATCTTTCTTGGCTTTGTACTTTGCTTACATTTCTTTTAGTAGCTCCTGGTGTTGGGGTATGAACACCAAGAGGTGGCACAGAACAGGGGCATGGTTGTGTTTAACTACACTGGGAAAATCTAAGGGGCTGCTGTTCTTCTCATTACTCCCTTAAATGATACAGGCAGGTAGAACTATGTATTATAAATAGACATGAAAGTTCTAGTCCCCAGCCAGCAGATTCTGGATCGACTGGACAGTTTATTGCAGATGTAGTCAACTGCACAATTTAACTTGCAGGAGCAAATCTATTTGATTGATCCAGAAGCTGAAGGTGGAGCTGCATAAGAACTGGCAGCACACCTGGTCATTGGAGCAGGCACAGCCCCACTTTCCTGATTCTCCCCAGCCTTCATCAGTGTTGGTCACTTACTTACTGTGTCCACACAGATCTGCACCTCACAGCAGTGTCGCCCTCTCATGACCTCAGAGAACTGTGGTAGATGTTTTTTTGGACTTCGTGCAGCTAAAATGGATGCCCAGGCCTAGTGGTTTTAGTTGGTGTTTTTAGATGTGGCTTATCTGCTAAACAAGACTGCCCAGGGAACAATCTGGCCCACATGGATATAGTGCTACTGTATCCATGACAACTGGATGGATGCCATCCCTTCTATAGGCTGCACTGCCTGACTCAATGGTGTTGATAAGCATCCTGTTTTTTTGAGGGGGTGGGCACGCTGAGAGTTTCAGGTTTTAGGTTTTTTGTTGTTGTTTTTAATAACAAAAAAATGGGTTTTACGTGTTGGCTCACAACCATTTGTAAGTCCAGTCTCCAGGAATCCAACAGTCTCCTCTGGCCTCTGAAAGCAATAAATGACAGAGTCAAGCAAAACACTCGTGCACATCAAATACAAACTAATATATGAATTTCCAGTGCCATGAGGGACCTGTGAAGGGTTTTCAGTTAAGGAGTAAGTGTGCTGGAATGTTTTAAGAAACTTGCTCTTTAGTGGCTAGGACACAGGGATAATATCTTTTTGTTTTTTATAGTGTAGCCATGTGAGTGTATCCCTCTTTATGATTGTACCAACAGTAGTAAACAAGACAGAAAAAAAAAACATTGGGAAAGACGCTCACTCCTGGGAAGGAGATGGTCATCAGGGCTAGAATGCAGGCTGCCCTTTTAGTAGTGCTGGAAGTTGATCTCAGTGTTCAGGTTGGCCTGACAGCTGGGTGGAGGGGTCTTTGCAGTAGGCAGCTCTGAGAATGCTTTGGAAGGAGCGCCTGCTTAAGTAAATGTCAAAGCAGGAATCAAGAGTGGGTTCTTGGGCCATGAAACAGCTCAGCCGATAGTCATTTACTGCCAAGACTAATGAGCTAGGTTTGATCCCTGGGCCCACATGATGGGAAGAAGAGAACCCACTCCAATAAGTTGGCCTCTGGCCTCCATACTCATACTGCGTCACAAGCAAACAGGCATAATTTGTATAGATAGATGAAAACAAGAATGACTTCTTGATTCCTGACCAGAGTGATAGGTGGGTGGTGGTCCTCAGCAGCCCCTGATTGGCCTCCCTTGTTCAGGTGGAGGTGTCGGGTAGATGGGGCAGAAGATCAGGAAGGGTATGATAGATGGGGTAGATGGTTTGTGGTCCAGCTTGGGAGAGCCACTCAGGACCTGGCATAGGGGTAGAGCAAGGGTCTTGAGACTTAGCCTTAAGTCTTCGTGTATAAGTGTGCAAGTGAGCACCCTAGCAGATAGTCAGCAACAGGTGAGATGCCGCAGGCGGTGAGGGAGACTACCAGAGGTGCATGTGACATCATAGAAGCTGATGGGAGCTTCCATGCGCTTGAGAGTCGGTGGCCAGCCAGCCGTTCTGAAAGTTACTAAATAATAAATAGGACATGGCCATTAAATTTGACATCACAAAGGTGAAATTGAGGCAGTTTGGTGACATGATTGACTGAGGAGCAAGAGCAGACTTTGATGAGAGTGAAGGGCAAGGACAAAAGGGTTGGCAGTTTCTCTCAGAAGCTGTCATTGAAGGGAGCCTAGAAAGGGAATTCAGTGCTGCTAGATATTAATTCTGTCCTGCTAGCATGCGGTTGTGGTCTGCCCCAGGAGTGGAATGCCTAGCAGTACAAGTCCAGCTCCAAGGTAGCAGAGGGTGGATGCCCAGTGGCTTCTGGGAAGTAGGAGGACAGGTTGGTAGCTCAGGTGTGTGGGCAAAGGGGATGAGGATGTTTTGAGAGACAAAAGGGGAAGATATGCAATTGTCTGTGGATGTGGGAAATTTCCTTTGTAGATTTTAACACAGTAGACTTTCTAGCAGTGTAGCGCACCCGTTTTATATTTGTCATCATGAATTTATGAAGTAGAGCTAGTTTCTAAACTTAGCTGTTTCAAAAAGGGTCATCCAGAATTGAGGTCTTGCAGATAAGGAAAGTATGTAGAGATGTTCGTAGGAGAATTGTAACCAAGGAGGTGCTAGAGGGTAGGGGTGACGGAGGTTAGCTTCCCCTTCCCTTTTGGGCCAGAAGCTTAGATAATCAGAAAGCGCCTCCATAGCCTGCCCTGGATTCATGTCTTCTACTCTTAGCTTAAAGAAAGAGTAGCCGCAGGCGAGCTAACTGGATGCCTTGCTTTCAGGAAATCTGTGCCACTCCTCAGCTGTTTCCAGATAACCCGTGGGAAGGACAGGTGAAGCAAGGGCTGTTGGGGGATTGCTGGTTCCTGTGTGCCTGTGCTGCCCTGCAGAAGAGTCAACACCTCCTGGCCCAGGTACGGGTCACCTTAGGCTTCTCCCAGCTTGAGTCCTTCTGCCTGCACAGGACAGGAAGTTCTTCCAATAGCAGGGCTTGCTGCAGCACATTTGTGACTGCGCAGCATGGGTGGAGGGAAGGTTAGGGCACCAAGACGGTGACCCAAGTGTGTCCTGTTCACCAGACTGGAATCACCCACACATTCGGGACACAAAAACAGGCCAAGCTGGCAGGTGGAACAGGGTCAGCAGAAGTATCTGTGTCTCTGGTTTGGAATTTGTTTTCTTTACTGGATTGATTTCTTTATTTTTTTTTTCATATATAGGCTTTAAATACCAATAGGGAAAAGGTCATTGGAGTTGTCTTCTGATACTGGCAGACTCCATAAGAAAGGCATTGTGGGTTTTCTTCCTTACTGCCTGCTTTAGGTTGGCTCATTGTTCAGGGTTTTCAGTTAAGGCAACAGTATTGAGGTGGGTAACCCATGTATGGCTTCTCTTGTGTCCTGGGCTAAGCTCATCGCTGTTGTTACCTCTCCTTACAGCCTTACTGACATCTAACTTTCCTGTGAAAGGATGCTGATGCCATTGTTACCGTATTCCTCTGCTCCTGAGTGTTGGAGCCAGCACCACACTATGTCTCCCTAGGTGCAGAGCCTGCTTTTGCCTAGCCAGTGACTGGCAGTTTGGGGCACATGGCTTTGAGAAGCAGGAAGGGCTGCTAGGCTTGTGGCTACCTGTTACAGCCAGGTCTGTTGAGAACAGAATCGGGGTGTGGTGGTGCATACTTTTAACCCCAGCACTCAGGAGGCAGAGGCAGGTGGGTTTCTTGAGTTTAAAACCAGCCTGGTGTACAGAGCAAGTTCCAGGATAGCCAGGGCTACACAGAGAAACCTTGTCTCAAAAAAAAAAAAAAAAAAAAAGATTGAGTTACTGCCGCCTGCCAGCCAAAGCTTTGAATTTAGGTCAAGTGCTTATTTGGGGCAGTAAACGTGGTTAGCTGTAAGCTTTGGGGACATGAGTTATTTATGTGAAAATCTGGATTTTGTGTTCACTGGTTGAGTTTGTTGTGACATGGCCATATAGACCTGGCAGCCAACAGAGCAGATCCTTTTACTCTGAGTGGGTGCTCATGTAGGGCTTCTGTTGAAGCCACTCTTAGGATACTGAGGCGCACAATGATTCTCATCTTTCAGGTGTCTGCAGTGCTTCTGTGAGGCTACATTGTTGGGATGCTGAGGAGCACAGGTGTTGGTGGTCCCTCAGCTGGCCCATCAGATGTCTGCCGTGCTTCTGTTGGGATGCTGAGGAACACAGGTGTTTGGTGGCCCCTCAGCTGGCCCGTCAGGTGTCTGCAGTGCTTTTGTTGGGATGCTGAGGAGCACAGGTGTTTGGTGGTCCCTCAGCTGGCCCATCAGATGTCTGCAGTGCTTCTGTTGGGATGCTCAGGAGCTCACCAAAGCTGATCTCATACTGTGTGTTTGGCCTCTCCTTGTGCACGTTAGGTTTTCCCTCCGGGACAGCCAAGCTGGTCTGACCAGAAGTATCGCGGTTTCTTCACCTGTCGAATTTGGCAGTTTGGACACTGGGAGGAGGTGACCATAGATGACCGTCTGCCTTGCCTTGCTGGGAGACTCTGCTTCTCCCGGTGCCAGAAAGAGGATGTTTTCTGGCTTCCCTTACTGGAAAAGGCATATGCTAAGTACGTATGGTATAGAAGTGGCAGGGCCAGCCAGCCTGGGTGGCATCAGTAGTCAGACTGTCCCCAGAGGCCCATCTCCTCTTCCCTGGGCTACAGAGCACTATGCAGTCTTCAGGGTCTGGCAGCCAGTCCTGTGGGTCTTGGCATGGACACTCTGCTTTTTGGACTATGGTTTCCCCTCCCTGCTCACTCTTCCTTCTTATATTTCCCAGCACTCTGCTGAGTGGTCCTCCTCATTCCTCAGTCACAACACAAAGATGCCCCCATGTATGTTTATGAACATTCAGAACAAGTGGTTCGTTGCCAGTTTTAGGGGAGTAGGAGCCTGGTGTGGATCAACACTTGCTCTCACTGCAGTCCCCAGTTAAAAGCTGTCCCTCCTACATAGTGTTAGGCTGCTGAGGGAGGCTGGCTAATGTGCAGGTGTCTGAGCAGAGGGCTAGCAGAATATCGATATTGGGGCAGTGGAGTTTGAGCTTCAGAGATGGAGCCTCTATGGCCCCTTGTCTTGTCCTTTGCTGCCCACACTAGAGAAGAATGGGTCTGAACCTGGGCAGAGAACAGCAGGGCCATAGCAGATTTGACATTAATAGATGAGTGAAGATGTGATACGAAGCAGAGGAGCAATCCAGGTGCAGTGAAAGGGTGGCTGGAAGGGGCTTTGGAGATGTGATGGATTGTGGGAATAGGAGCAGCAGGAAGCCCCCAGTAGCAAGGCTTATATACCTCCTATGCTTGTGATTTCCAGGGTCCATGGATCCTATGAGCACCTGTGGGCAGGGCAGGTGGCAGATGCCCTGGTGGATCTCACTGGAAGCCTGGCAGAAAGGTGGAGCCTGAAAGACATAGTGGGAGCCAGTGGCCAGCAGGACAGACCCAGTGGCCGAGAGCAAAGGACTTGTCGGCAGCTGCTCCGCCTGAAGGACCAGTGTCTGATCAGCTGCTCTGTACTCAGCCCCAGAGCAGGTACAGCCTGTGGCCACAACTCCTTTCACCATGAGCTTGTTATAGAGAAGGAAGTCTGTCCCCAAGAGGGCTGTCTTGGGTTTGTGTGTGTCTATTGTCCCTCCTTTAGAGAGAGGTGACCATCTAGAGCAGTTCTTTCACCTAGAGCAAGGCAGGACCTAATTTATATCCCCTTTTGCTCCTAGACAGCTTAGGAGCAGTAGCAAGAACAGTGTCTAAGCTGACCATGCCATCCTCCCTGACCAGCTGGTGACCAACCAACCAAAATCCAAAGCCATTTTCTATCGTACTGACATATTTAGGTTCATGAAGGAAAGTTTATATACAAAAATAAGAAGAGAGAAAAGGTCACCCAAATAAAACTACTGTAAGCCACTTGCAACTCTTTAGTACCCTTTTTGAGTTTTCTCCTGTGTATACAACCTTGTCTTTTTTTTGTCGTATACCACTTTCTATGTTATTATGTAAACTTTGGAGTATCTTCTTCCATTGCTGGACTTGCTGTGATTTTTCTTGATTCTTCCAGCAACGTTGGATAGTTCAGATCCTCTTTTGTTTTGTTGTTGTTTTGTTTTTGGGGGAATCATGCTTGCTTAGAACTAAAGTAGGTCTCCTGCCTCTGATGCATAAATGTTGAGACCGTTGGCAGTATAATGCCCTGCTAGATTTTCTGATAATAATAATACTGTAGTGAAGACCTTTATAATTTACTATTCACATTTCAGAGCATTTTCTATAACTGGTTTAAGAATAGGGACCTCAGGTGCTAGGAGATAGCTCAGTCAGTCAAGTGCTTGCTGCACAGCCTGAGGACCCCAGTTGGATATTCAGCACCCAGGTCAAAGGCAAGGCATGCCGATGGATACTTAGAATTCCAACTCTGAGAAGGTGAGACAGGAGGATGCCTGGGTGTAGCAAGCAGCATGGTGTCACACCTGATGGAGATGTATAATCAACTCCTGAGATGGCTAAAGTCTGACCTATGCTATGATCACACAATGATTATCAGCTGCCTGCATATGCGTGAACCTATGGGCAGTGCCCACCTGGCAGTTCGGGGTTGGCAGCCCATGCCTACTTAAGGGCTTGGAGAGGTTTGCCCGGGGAAAGAGGAGAGAGAGAAAGAGAGAGGGAGAGGGAGAGAGGAGAGAGAGAGAGAGAGAGAGAGAGAGAGAGAGAGAGAGAGAGAGAGAGAGAGAGAGAGAGAGAGAGAGAGAGAGAGAGAGAGAGAGAGAGAGAGAGAGAGAGAGAAAGTGAATAAAGTCCTGGAATAAACTGCAGTAAGAAGAGCTCTGGTGGTCGCGTCATTCCTTGCAGGACGAGGGTGGCTGCGACACCTGGGGCTTGGTGTCCATCCAGTCTAGTTGAGTCCGTGAGCTCCAGGTCCCAGTGAGAGACTCTGTCTCAAAAAATAAGGTGGGGAGCTCCTGAGGAACAACGCAAAGGCTATCTTTGTCCTGTACACATGTGTATATGCATACACCCCCTCACGTACACACATGTATACACACGTAAATAATTAAGTATGACTATCAAAATAATCCAAAACTTGTTGGTAATCACCCTGGCCAGTCCAACAGGGAAGAGTTGGCAAGGCTGGGATCCCCTCAGCAGGGTGTGTGTTCACTGTGGCTCACGCTGGCTCCCTAAACCTCCTTCCTTGACCATCAGCTCCTTGGAACTGTTGATGCTGGGTGACTCTGAGTGGGATGGCTGATTCTTGACACTTCTGGTTTTGGGGAACCCCTTTCCCTGGCAAAGAGCTGCTGGGGCTCCCAAAGCCTGAAGGGCTGGGGTTGAGAGGGACACCAAGAATGATAGCTGCAGAGCCTTTGGGAGTAGACTGTGGTCACGGTCCTCCTGCTTTCTCTGGCTGCCACCCTCCCCGGAATAGCACTTCTCTTTCACATAAGCGCCCTTTGTTTTGTGGTCTCTGGCCAGGTAAAATTCCTTTTGGCCTCAAGTCCCCAGTATTGACTTCTGGTTCATGTGTTCCTTCTCCATCTGGCTTTGCCTAGGGGAGGCTTCTTTTAGCCACTGATTATCTTAGGTGTGTCGGTGACAATAATGGTTTCATACTTGACAGCTGGCTCTGCACTGGCACACGTGGTGAAAATTGAGACCCAGAGGAAGGAGTATTGTGTGAAGCAGCAGTCCTTGGTGGCAGTGAGCCATGGCCCAGCTGTTGACCTTTCCTGGCACAGAATGCCAGTGAACACAGCACATAGCTGGCCTGTGTTTAGGAACAGAGCTCCTTAACTCTGTGGAGACCCATGCATCTCCCACAGGCAAGAAAGCAGAGATCTATTTGTCCTATCCAGTTTGGGGCATGGTAATGCTAGCCCTGCACATGACTGACCTGGTCCCACAGGTGCCAGGGAGCTCGGGGAGTTCCATGCCTTCATCATCTCAGATCTGCGGGAGCTATGGAGTCGGACTGGCCAGTGTATCCTCCTGTTGCGAATTCACAACCCTTGGGGCCGACGTTGTTGGCAGGGCCTCTGGAGAGAGGGGTGAGTACCAGGTGGGGGCTGCATGTGTGAGGAGGGGTTGATGCTCTGAGGGCATTCATGCCGCAATGCCCATCTGGCCTGGCTTGTGCTCATATCCAGCTGCCAGGATAGTGCTTGCTTTCTTATGGCAGAGCTTACCCGGCACCTGTCTGTGCACCTCCTTGCTTTGTCTAGGTCTTGGAAGACTGGGGCCCTACAGTTTTATTTATTTATTTATTCATTCATTCATTCATTCATTCATTCATTTTATGATACTTCATCTTGGGTACCCATAGGATAGTGAATGCCTGGCGTGGGGTTTTGGTGAGTATGGCTTTGAGGGTAGCCCTCAGATAAAGTCCTCAGCTCAGTTTTAAGACCCAACTAAGCCAGGATCCCCTTGAGGCCTGGGAGCTCTAAGGCTCTTGGATCCCAACTCCCCTCCACGCCCAGGCTGGGTCTGGTGCTGCTGCTAAGCAGGGCAGCATTCTACTCAAGTGACAGCTCCTTCAGAGACCAGAGAGTCTGGGCTCGAGTGTGAGGGCCTTAACAAGGCAAGTTCTCAGACATGGGGTCCCCCTGGGAAAGAGGGGTTCTGATGGACAGTCAGCACAGAGAAGGCACCTTCTATAGGTCACTTCTTAGCAAGGGAGTGCTGTGCAGCTGGCCATCCAGGGTTTGGCGGGAACTTGGGACTCTCCACCCCCCAGGGTCCCACTTCCCTGTTTGTCTGTTGATGTTCCACCTTGAACTTGTACTGAAATGAGATTTTCTGCAGGGGTGAAGGGTGGAACCAGGTAGAGCCAGCTGAGGCGTCTGAGATGCTGGCACAACTCCAGGAAGGAGAATTCTGGGTGGAGGAAGAGGAGTTCCTCAGGGAATTTGACGAGGTCACTGTTGGCTACCCCGTCACAGAGGCTGGCCACCTACAGAGTCTCTACACAGGTAGGACCTTCACAGGCTGGCACACCAGCGACTAGGTACAGCCCTTTCTGCCTCATGGACTGAGGACCTGGAGAAGGGGAACAGATGGGATCCTTAGAGGGTGGGCTGACTGCCACTTTTGTGCTTGCCCTGGCCTGTGGATGTAGTCTAGCCAGCAAGGTCCTCTCACAGCTGACTCGTGTGCTCTCCCACTAGAGAAGGTGCTGTGTCACACACGGGCACTGCCTGGCGCCTGGGTCGTAGGGCAGTCAGCTGGAGGCTGCCGGAACAACAGTTGCTTTCCCTGCAACCCCAAGTTCTGGTTACGGCTCTTGGAACCCAGCGAAGTGTGTGTGGCTGTCCTTCAGAGACCCCGGAGGTGCTTCGAGGGCCAGACCCGGGCACTGGTGGGTGCCGGTCCTGCGCCAGTGACTCTCCCCGGCAAGGACTACCAGGCTGTGGGCCTGCACATCTGGAAGGTAACTCCATCTACTGGCCTCATGGTGGAAAGGCAGGCAGCCATATTGGAGCAGCGCCTGTCCTTTTCCCACGTCCTCTGGCCACAGACACCTCTGATGTACCGGCAGATGCAGCTGATGCAACTGATTCGAAGCCTGCCCATTCCACCCCTGAGGTGGAGGCTAGCCTGATGACTGTAATCCCATCTTCCCTGAAGGAAGTTTCCCATTAGACTAGGGCTGCTGCTTGCCTTGTGTACTCCAGCCTAGCTACCTTCCCCTGGCTCCTCCCTTACAACCTATACGTGTGCAGGGTTGTTTCATTGTGGGTCTCAGATACACATTGTTTGGTCGGTTCTGTGAACTAGTATCTGTTTCCTAGAACGGGTCACTGAGGAGCTGCCACTTGCTTACTCAGTGGCTATCTTTCGTTCATTGTTCCTTTACAAGTGTGACCTACCTCATGGTTGTTTCCCCCTGTAAAAAAGTTGCTGGAAAGTACCTTCTCCAGCATTCCCCAGGCTGCACTGGCCATGGGCCATTTTGAACATAGTATTAGATTTGTCTGTTATGCACCTTTGAGGGAAGCCCTGAGTATTTTGAGCCTTGGCTTAAAAGGGTGGATATTATGGGCTGTCTCCTGGGAGCATTCATTGCCTGAGTGGTGAGGAGCAGAGAGGCAGAGGCCCAGTGTATTAATGTGAGTCTCCTCAGAGTCTCCTGTGTCTGATCATGCAGGTAGAGAAGCGGAAGGTCAGCCTGCCCAGAGTCCTGTCTTCACCCCCGGTAGCTGGTACTGCATGCCATGCCTATGACCGTGAGGTCCACTTGCGCTGTGAGCTCTCCCCAGGCTACTACCTGGCTGTCCCTAGCACCTTCTTGAAGGATGTGTCAGGGCAGTTCCTGCTGCGAGTCTTCTCCACTGGGAAAATCTCCCTCAGGTGAGGAGCCAGTGCTAGCTGGGCTGAGGCCTGGCGAGGAGCGGGCGTGCTCTGGGTGTGCGGGTGGGGCTTGGGCAGGCCCCCTGGACGAGGCTGCATGGCCTCTGTGCTCTGGGTGTGCGGGTGGGGCTTGGGCAGGCCCCCTGGACGAGGCTGCATGGCCTCTGTGCTCTGGGTGTGCGGGTGGGGCTTGGGCAGGCCCCCTGGACGAGGCTGCATGGCCTCTGTGCTCTGGGTGTGCGGGTGGGGCTTGGGCAGGCCCCCTGGACGAGGCTGCATCGCCTCTGTGCTTGTCGTCCGTCAGTGCTGTCGGGCTGGCCACCAAGGCTCCGTCACCTGGAACAGCCCTGCCCGCAGGCGAGTGGGAGACTGTGCAGCTGCGGGGCTGCTGGAGAGCTGGCCAGACAGCCGGGGGCAGCAGGAACTTTGCCTCTTACCCCTGCAATCCCTGCCTCCCCTTCTCCGTCCCTGAGGGTTCTGGTCCCCGCTACATCCGCATCACCCTACACCAACACTGCCGACTCAGTGACAGCCAGCTTCACCCCATTGGCTTCCACATCTTTCAGGTGAGCCAGGTTCCAGGAGAGGCCAGCTGCTGTGACCCAGGGGCTGGATTCTGTCATTTGAGCCTGTTGGTCCAGCTGACTGGCTTCAAGAAAGACTCACTTGGAAGTTTACAGAGTCCGTATTTGCTGTGGTTGTCTGGGGCAGCTCCCCTGGCTCTGAAACCAGACCAGGGAACACACTTAGTAAAGTTTGAGTTGGAGAAATGGGAGGAGAGAGAGGTAATATGCTAGAGGTCCAGGGTCATAGGCTACAGATTCCATGATGGCAATAATGAGGCTTCCCTCCTATGAGGCTTTGTTCATTTTGGGGCCTCACTTCCCAGTGAGCATTGGCTAAGTGTGCGTTGGGCTGCATCAGGATTCGTGGTGGGTGGAAGCATGCATGCCTGGATTGCAGGTGACATGGGGAGGAGAGAAAAGGAACTTCGCATTAAGAAGGTTCTGTTGAGGGTGTCAGTACATCACAAAAAGCTGAACTCTTGGAGTCTTGAGTCAGGCCACCTGGAGCTCTGACAGGGCCTCTGGCAAACGTGGCATGGCTCCATGGCTTTTGTCCATGGCAAAGGGGTTTAATAAATAGCTCTAGGACTGAGAGCATCAGCTACTCCAGCTGACCCTGGGTGTTATGCCCTCAGCTGGTACTGTTCAGAGGGAGAGCACATCATGCCATCCTGTGTAGGCCTCCATGCTGATTGCACTGTTGTCCCAGGTTCCCGCAGATGGTGAGAACGAGAGTGCATGTTCCCTGCTGCTTCAGGAGCCGTTACTAAGCTGTGTACCGCATCGCTACGCCCAGGAAGTGAGCCGCCTCTGCCTCCTGTCAGTGGGGACCTACAGGGTTGTGCCCTCCACCTACCTGCCAGATACAGAGGGTACCTTCACAGTGACCATAGCAACCAGAATAGACAGGTAGGACTCCAGATCCTCAGCACTGTAGCACTTTCTTCCATGTGAGTCTCCTGCTTGACCCATGTGCCCACGTTCCTGCCTTTCTGGCAGAGCCAAGAGGTGGGCCTATGGGCTTTGGGACTCCTTGCTGGTCTAAGCCTGGATAGGGCCTGGATCTGGTGGGAGGTGTGTAAGGCAGGCGTAGGGGCTGACCTGACATTCTCTCCACAGGCAGTCCATTCACAGCCAGGAGATGCTGGGCCAGCTACTCCAGGAGGTTTGTATGCAGTACCCTTGCCTAGCTTGGTTCACCTACCTATGTCTCCTTGGTGTCTGGGGTCTTAATTCCCTCATCCTCCTCCCAGTAGCCTTGCTGCAAGTGGCCTCTATCTGACATATAAAGTGCTGTGACCCCCTCATAAAGAGTCACAAGGCAGAGCTTTCAGGGATTTGGGAGCTGAGACTGAGTCTTGTTCTCAGGTATTTAGAAGGGCGGTGGGGAGCAGAGGGCAGGGCCCAGCCTTACCTTCTCTCCCTGCAGGTCTCCTTCATGGCAGTGATGAAAGCCTGACTCAGCATCCAGGCACATCTCCAGCCGGCGTGAGCCTAGGGCTGCCTGTGGATCCGGAGGAGAAAGCCAGGCGCTTTGTCCTGGACAGAAGACATCTCGGAGTCCAGTGTAGTCATGTAGGCACATCTCCAGCCGGCGTGAGCCTAGGGCTGCCTGTGGATCCGGAGGAGAAAGTCGGGTGCTTTGTCCTGGATAGAAGACATCTTGGAGTCCAATGGGTGCTGTAGTGGACTAGGACTCCCAAGTGACGTCTTCATTCCTCAGTGAAGACTAGGAGATTCCTGGTGCCCAGGCCTGCCAGGAAAGGCTCTGCAGAACCCTCACACCCTTCTTGACGTCAGGAGCCTTACACCAGGCAGGCAGCTGGTGACAAATGTTGAAAACTGTTTATTACTTGAAATATTTTTAGGAATGACTTTATAAATAAACATGAGTAATTTATGAATTGGTCTTGTTTCACAAAGCCCAAGCTCAAATTAGCATCCTAGTAGTCGGCTGCACAACTGGGAGGTGCCGAGGGGGTGAGGGCAGGCAGCATGGGCTCTGGAGGAGGTAGGGAATTGAAAGTGAAAGATTTCGGCATAGTTTTAGCATCCTACTTTGGCCTTCCTGAGCTGCGATCTGTGCCTGTGTGATACTCAATTCCAGTGATGTGCTAAGGGTATTGATCACTTCCTTAGGTCAGTCCCAGTTAGATAATTGGGGTCGGGATGGCTGCAGTAAGTGTGCCTCCTGGACTTGCACAAGCTAATCTTTGCTGGACTGTTACAAACTGCCACTCTTGTGTCCTACTGTAGCGGGCTTTGTCAACATAGGTCATACCCACAGGCCTGTCGGATACCTGAACAACCTACCTGCCTAGTACGCAGCCATGGAGGAGAGTTCCAGAATTTCTGTTGGTGGGGGGACTTCTGATCATATTGATGTGGACAACAAGCGTCCTCTTGTGAGCCAGGTCTTTGGACTGTATCAAGGTGCTTCCTTCTTCATCCTTAATTGATTTGCTTGGTCAAATGTCTGACTTGTGGCCCTCTACATCGCCCCTGTTGATAAACCATAACTTCCGTAGGCAGCTATTTTCGGTGCCACTCTTACTGACAAGGCCTTTCACCTCACTTGTCTTCTTTGGAATTGGATCCCACCATCCTTGGTGTTTACCAAGCCCTGTAATGGCAGTTTCCACAATCACCTAGCCTGCAGGACTCGCTTAACTAGGGTGGGAGTAGAAAGACCTGGTCTTTCCTTTAAAATTAACACTTGAGGGCTTCGATAAAGCTGGACAGCAGCCACCTACAGCTGCTTCCTCGACAGCCATCCCTGTCGTCCCAGGGATCCCTCTTTAGTCTGCACCTAGACAGTGTTCTGAGTCCATCACACCCCTGTTCATGCTCACCTTATTCAGCTCCATCTTGACAGTGTGCTGAGTCCATCATCACATCTCCGTCCATGCTCACCTTATTCAACATCACCTACACAGTGTGCTGAGTCCACCATCACATCCCCATTCATGCTCACCTTATTCAACATCACCTAGACAGTGTGCTGAGTCCACCATCACATCCCTATCCATGCTCACCTTATTCAACATCACCTAGACAGTGTCCTGAGTCCACCATCACATCCCCGTCCATGCTCACCTTATTCAACATCACCTACACAGTGTGCTGAGTGCATCACATCCCCACCCATGCTCACCTTATTCAGCATCACCTAGACGATGTGTTGTTCTAGGAGTGTCACTAGACACTCCCCTCTTCATGTACACATTATTCAGCAGCAGAAAACAGCAATTGGATTAGATAGGACAATCACTCTGGTTAGGCCCTGCTGTCTCCTCATTACCATTATGAACCCTTGCTCTTTGTGAGTAGCGGGTAATCCAGTTCCACAGCCTAAATTGTCACTTTTTTTTTTTTTTTTTTTTTTTTTTTTGAGAAGTACACAGCAGAATGGGATTAGGGGCAGCTCGTTTGGGTAGAAACAGAACTCTCTTTGAGACACTTGGGCAGCCTCAGTCTCAAATTTAGGGTCTTTAGAAGGATGGAGGCCTGACTGAATGTTCCTTGTGGGGCTGAAATGCTTGGCCTTGGAAATCCAGCCAGCTCTGTCACCTGGACAAGGCTGCCTCAAATGTAAGATCCACCCTAAAGACCTATATTGCCACAGTTGGCCTTCCCAGGGGTTCCCCTCCAACTGCTCCCTGAGCTAGCATAGCTATTATTTGCTGTCCCTTCCCCTCTTAATAGTGTCTGTTTTGGTTGCTCCAGGGACATCTGAGGATGACTCTTGAGGGAAGCCCTCTACTGACAGCTTACAGGAAAGGCCCCTGGAGCGCCTGTCCCCTCAGGATGCCCCAAGGAACATATCTGAGCCTCCACCCAGTGGACTTTTCCCACCTCCAAGAGCTATCAAAGATCTCTTAGGGGTTGGAGGCATCTGGATCCCCACACCCTTGTCCACTGTTCAACAGCTACTGTGCCTCTCTCCGGTGTCACCACCGGCCAGTCTTCCATGACTCCTGAGGGAGGCCTGAGGACTCCCACAGAATGGGCTGCTGCTCCTCAGTGTGGTTCGCTCTAATGACCTCCAGGAGGCGCACTGAAGCTGTGGCCGGCTCTTTAGGATCATGGGACCATTTCAGCTAGATCCTGCCAGCCTGCCTTCCGTAATCTGAGGAGTTCCAGGTGTCTAGCTCAGGCAGGGGCTAAGCGAGCAGCCACCAGGATGTTATTTCTCAGGGTAGCCCTGGTTTGGAAGGGTGAGCATAGGCTACTGTTAAAGGGCAGGTGGGGAGTGGCACCCCAAGGCCATGGGGTCACCACTGGGGTCTAAAAGCCTGCCCCCCACCCCCAAGTTGGCAAGTTGGGAAGTTGGCCAGGATACAAGTATAGACTGCATGAGGGGTACTAATGTTTGTGGTGGTTGGTTAGGGCCAGATCCCACCAGCCTGAGTATGCCAAGCCCTGTGGTGGCCTGGTGCAGGACTGCCTTAACCAGGGTGGGAGCAGGCTTGAGGGCTTGGCAGGATCTTGTCAGCCTGACAGGGTTTAGAATCGCCCAGGAGCACCGTGAGCATGTCTGTTTTCAGAAGATTAACTGAAGTGAGCGGGCCTAGCATGAATGTGGGCGTGCCATCCCGTGGGCTGGGGACCCAGATGAACAAAAGCCCACTATCAGAATCTGTCCCTGTTTCCCGACTGCAGATACCGTGTGACAAGCTGTCTCATTGTTATACATTGCCATTGTCACATTGCCCACCACGAGCCAAAGTCAATCCACCCTTCCTTTGGTTGTTTTAAATCATATTCCATCATGGCAATGAGAAAAGTAGCTAATACAGTGACCTTATAAAAGGGACCTTAGAGAACCTCGTTACCTCTCCACCATATGAGGCTGCAGCAAGATGACCAGCCATGAACCAGCCCCTGGATCCCTGTGGCCTTGCATTTGGGCTTGCAGCCTCCAGAAGAGTTGGATGCATTTCTGTTGTTTATAAGCCGACTGGTATGTGAAGCCACCCTGGTGGGAGCAGCAGGTTTCTGGGAAGAGCTGGGGCGTCTCAGCAGGGCCTGTTTGCCTTCCATGGTGTCCAGGGCCACACGGTGCCTGCTGAACAGACTAGATCGTTGGTGGCAGCTGCCACCAAAGGATGAGGGGTAGTTCTGGCCCATCCAGAAGGGCGGGTTGGGTGTGTCTGTGTGAGAATGTCTCCTCCTGGGAGACTTTGACCACTCTAGCTCCTTCCCAGTACTTCCTGCTCCAGAGTAGTGTAGGAACGCCTCCTGGAGCTGTGTACTGGCTGTCCGCCTCCTGTTTTCACCCCTCCTTCCTCCCAGGCTCAGTCAACCTTGAGGGTCCAGAGCCTCTAGGGTGAGTATGGAGTCCTGTCCTGAGGTAGGGGGTCTTGGAGGAGCAGTTCAGGATAGGAGGCTAAGAGGGTTGGGGTAAGCTGGTGAGAGCCTTGGGCATTATATAAGCCAGCCACAGATCCCATGCTCTGTCACTGTACTCTCGTGACCCCTCTCCCTCTCCCCTCCCTCCCTCTCTTCCTTTCCATTCATAAGCATGCCTTACTAACCTACATAGCTTCCCAGGTATGCCTCTCTTGGTTTTTCCTCTGATATTTTTTGTCCTCTGATATTTGCCAGATGTTCAGACAGGTTTGCCTCCCTATGAAGTTAATGGAAGAATCATTTTGTTCTTGGAAACCCACTGCAGCCTCCAGACCCACCACAAAGCTCTGGGTGGAGCTGTGCTGGCAGAAGGTGACTTTCTGCTCTGCTCGGGCAGGCCGACCGGCTTTGTTGGCTGAGAGCACTTTCTACCTGTCCCCCATGGTACTTAGACCACATCTGCAGAGCTTTGAGTCCTCTACCTGGTGCTAAACCCCCTGGCCATTGCTCTTTTGTCCTCTGAGAGACAGCACCCGCACACCTGTTGTCTCAGGTCTGGCCTGGACCCACATGGCCTGTTTCCCTGCATCTCGGGAGATACAGGTGTGAGGCTCAGTCAAGGATGTGTGTGGTCCCCCCACCCAGACCAGAGCTTAGGCTAGTCTTAACTTTCAGCTCCTGGGATCCTTGCTCCTCTGCAACTGGCTAGCAGTTCACCTACCAGGAAGGTGTGCATAGCTTCGGGCTTCGGGGGCTGTTGGGCCAGGGACCAGCGTTGTGCTCTGTGGGTGCCCAGGGTCTGGGTAGGTGTCGTGTCAGGACACTGGCATTTGTACCTATAACTGCATCCTAATTGAGCTGGGCTTGTCCCTCATCCTTCAGCCCCAGCAGGGATGCTGAGCAGGAGGGCTACTCACTTTCCACCACATCTTCCTCTCCCAACCTCACTTCATCCTGAGATACCGGAGTGTATATGTTGGGTGGCAGGCACACTGTCTTAGATGTCCCAGTGTCTTAGATGTGGCCAAGACGTCCAGCACCCCCACCCATGATCTTTTAGGGATGACCATCTACACACGGATAGCCTTGGCATCTAGACAGTGAGATGGCAGATGAACATAGAGTGCTGTGACAGTGGATCAGTTGGGGGCAGAGCAGAAGCTAGGCACCCTCAGGGATGGCCTGCAGCATGGGGACAGCACCTAGACTGGACTGGAAGGGCAGGCAAAGGCATTATGGGACTCCAGGACTTGAATCTTAACTATGTGGGCAATAGGGAGTGCCCACAGGACTGTGGGAGTCCTCGCTGGCTGAAATCTTGCAGACCTCCATCTAGAAGACTTTGTATCCATGTGGGTGTTTGAGTGGGAGGCCGTAGAGTCAAAAGAGGCCATGATCCAGTGCAGCCAGGAGCCCAGGGACATGTGTTGTCTGGTAGTCCCCTAGGTTAGTCTAAGGAGAAGAGGATCTTCCTCTCTTAGCGATCTAGGGTTGTCTGAATTTCTCTCGGCAATATCTTATAACTCTGAGAATACAGGCTTCACATTTATCTCTTAATATTTCACAAATGGTATTGTAGTTTTAGCTCCTAATTGCTTATTACTGTATAGAGATAAGTTGTTTTAGTCTATTAATAGATTGCCCTATAATTTTCTAATCCACCTATTAGTTTTAAATTTCTGCTTTTCTTCCCCATGGCAACGGCTTCTATGTGCGCATTTCAACCCTAGATGACAATACCGTTATTCCTTCTCAACCCAAGGTGACAATATCGTTATTCCTTTTCAGTGTCCCCCCCACCACCTTGTGCTCTGTGCCCATTCTGCTGTCCAGTGCCATTCTATAGCAATGGCAGGGGCCACTCTGTGTCTGAGTACAGAGGAAAATTTTTAGCCCCTCGCTATCTCGTGAGGTCTCCTGTCAGTCATCTGCGGACTTCCTTTATCACACACGGGCCCATTCTTTGAGTCCTAGATTGCTAAGGGCTTTATCTTTCAGGAGTAGGAGGTTTTGTCAAAACTTTCTGCATTTATCGAGAGGATTATATAAATTTCACTTTTTCCCTGTTCATATTTTTCCAGTGACGAATTCCACTGACAGATCTGCCAAGGTTAAAGCTAGCCTCACAGTTCTAGGGTACTGGTTGATGACGTGAGATCTGTCGGTTTACATATTGTTGTGCTTCATTCGCTGGGGTGTGAGGTTCCACGTTCATGTGTGACACTGGTCTGCCTTAGAGGATGTTCTGTGGACTGTCCCTCACAGTGCTCTGAATGTAACCAACATTCAGTTCCCTTTATCCTTAAATGCAGGAAGGACCTCACCAAGCACACTATCAAGCTGGGGTGTTTTCTTTGTAGAAAGGTCTTAAATTATGAACTCAAGAACTTTAATGGATATAAACTATTCTGTTTTCAACCAGGAGCACAATGCTGTCCCCAGTTCTGTACTGTGTCCTGAATGTGACAAAAACCTTTAAGAATAAGAGTTTCATGGTTACTGTGCATAAAGAGAGCTAAGCACCCAGGCTGTCCACACATTCACTATGACCATGAGATACTAACTTTGACAAAGTGGTGACTTTTAGTAAATTCATCCATTTTATCAAAGTTGCCAGATGTGTTTGGTTAAAGTTATTACTACTATTTTCAGCCTACTAATGTTGGAAGTCCCCAACTCTTTTCTTTCATTTCTCATATTAGGGATTTGTACCTATTTTGTTTTGACAAATCTAGCCAGAAGATTGCCAGTTTTGTTGACCTTTGCAGATAACCAGCATTTTGTTTTGTTTTAAGACGAAGTCTCACTAAGTTGTGTAGGCTGCCGTTGAAATTGCTGTAGGTCAGACAGGCCTCGAACTCAGGACCTTCCTCCTTAGTCTCCAGAAGAACTGGGGTTGCAGACCTGAACTACCAGGCCAAGCTTATAACCAGCTTTTAAAAATTGATTTTCTAAGCCGGGTGATTGTGGCACACGCTTTTAATCTCAGCACTTGGGAGGCAGAAGCAAGTGAATTTCTGTGAGTTCAAGGCCATCTGGTTTACAGAACACATTCCAGGACAGCCAGAACTACACAGAGAAACTGCCTCAAAAATTTTTTTGTTTTTGTTCTAACACATTAAATTCCCCTTCCTTCCTTCCTTCCTTCCTTCCTTCCTTCCTTCCTTCCTTCCTTCCTTCCTTCCTCCCTCCCTCCCTCCCTCCCTCCCTCCCTCCCTCTCTCCCTTCCTTCCTTCCTTCCTTCCTTCCTTCCTTCCTCCCTCCCTTCCTTCCTTCCTTCCTTCCTGTTTCCTTTCTTCTACTTGTTTAAGTTTGTTTTTTCCCAGGCTCTTAACATTGGAATATCAGCTCAATGATTGTAGCTTTCTTCTTTCCTGAAATAAACAGGAAAGCTACAAATTTGCCTGTAAGCATGGCATTGACTTCTTTCATAAACACCAATAAGTTCTGTTTTCATGATCAGTTTAAATTATTTTTATTGTTTTTATTGAGCTATATATTCTTCTCCCCTCCCCTCCCTTCCACCCTCTCCCGTCATCCCCACGCTCTCAATTTACTCAGGAGATCTTGTCTTTTTCTTTTTCTCATGTAGCTTAGATCTATGTATGTCTCTCTTAGGGTCCTCTTTGTTATCTAGGTTCTCTGGGGTTGTGCATTGTAGGCTGGTTTTTCTTTGCTTTATGTCTAAGAGCCACTTATGCGTGAGTACATATTATATTTGTCTCTTTGGGTCTAGATTACCTCACTCAATATGATGCTTTCTAGATCCATCAATTTGCCTGCAAATTTCAAGATGTCGTTATTTTTTACCATGTAAAAATTTCACAATGTAGTACTCCATTGTGTCAGAAAATTAGGAAACAACCTACCTCAAGACCCAGCAATACCACTTTGGGGTATCTACCCAAACGATGCTCAATCATACCAGAAGAACATGTGCTCAGCTTTGTTCATAGCAGCATTGTTTGTTATAGCCAGAACCTGGAAACAGCCGAAGAATGGATAAAGAAAACGTGGCACATTTGGTTCAAAGTATTTTTTAAAGATTCATTTATTATGTGTATAATGTTCTGCCTGCATATATTCCTGCACGCCAGAAGAGGGCACCCGAACTCAATATAGAAGGTTGTGAGCCACCATGTGGTTCCTGGGAATTGAACTCAAGACCTGGAAGAGCAGCCAGTGCTCTTAACTCTGAGTCATCTCTCCTGCCCTCAAAGTATTTACAAATGCCCTTTCAGCTATTGCTGATCTTTGGTTTGTTTCTAAATGTGTTGTTTTGGAAGCATTTCAAGTTAAATTTTTTTTTAAATATATGTTGTGGGTTTTTTGAGACAGGGTCACATTATGCAGCCAAGGCTAGTCTTGGACTTATAGCCACCCCCCTGCCTCAGCCTCACATGTACTGGGATAGCAAACGTGTGTCATCACCCCCAGGCTTTGGAGCCTTCTTTAGGTGACATAGCTCTTTGTTACTGATTTGTTGTTAAGTTTAATTATATTTAAGGAACATAGTATAACTTAAAGACTTTAAAAAACAAACGGTGTGTGTGTGTGTGTGTGTACATGCATGCATGTGCATAGTGTGTGTATATATGCATGGGTTTAGGTCCCCATGAAGGC